GTATCATCACAGTAAGCAGAGCTAGTTGACTGACCACCTCTAACTTGGTTTTGCCAGTCATTCAAATAGCTCGAATTTCTTTTTTCCAATTTGGTTAGACAAATTCACTATTTGGTATTATACTTAGCTTCGCCAATTAAATGGGGAAAATATACAACATTTATATGGTAATTATCTCTACCTTGAGCTTTCTGGGAGGGTGTAAGACTGAGCCTTTCTGGACCAGGCCTCTGGAGTCGAGGTGGCTTCCTTCTCTTTGGGCTGCCTTCCTGGCTTTGAGCCAGTTCGTCTCCACAGCCTCAGAAAGCCTGAGCTCCGAGAGTGCCTTGGGGATTCAACTTCATTGACTCGCAAAATCAAAATATACAAATTCCCCTTTTAAACCATGATATATAACTGGGAGAATATTGCCTCTCCACTGCATTAGGGCCCACCCTATTACCTTACGGAATTACCCACAGTGGCAGAAATCCATTCACCTGATCCACTGACACCCTGGGGGCAGCTCAGATAGCATAAAGCCAATTGATAGATGTATATTTGATATATATTTTATGCCTGGAATTTATGTCTCCTGCATGTTTCATTTGCCATTCTGACTCACTTTATGCCACAGGAGAACTAGGGAAATTTCAAGAGGGACTGAGAAAGAAACGGCATGGAAGAACAGTGTGGAAATCAAAATAGCAATTTTTCTTTCTGATCTAGGACCTTACACCTGAGAATCCTGATCAACTTTAAAGCAAAAAAGATGTACTCACCCCACCCTCCTCTTCCCAGGAAGGGATTATGAGAAGAGCTAAACCTGGAAGCATGGGAAAATCCTTTTCCTGCAAACCAGTAGCTGAACCAGGTCCCCACTACAAAGTATATGTATTGGGGGCAAGGGATAAAGATATAAGCAATAATAGAACTAAAGGTATGCATTTTATTCTACATAGTTATCAAGATCCTGCCACATATTTTAGCTCATTTCATTCTCAAGGTAGTCAAGATTGGTATTTTCAGACCCATGTTACTGATGTTCCAGGGAGAACAATGAACTGCTTAAGATCATAGCTTATGGCAAAGCTGGAACTCAGATCCAGCCTTCTACTTCTCTGGTGTGAAGAAAAAAAAATTTTTTTTTAGAGGGCTTCTTCATAAGCTCCTATATATAGGGAGAGAATTCACCATCATGTGTACTACTCAAAGCCCTACTATGTGTCCTATATTTTCCAACAGCTTAATTTTAAGAAAATAATTTATACTGATTTATAACAGCTTACACACACACATACACACACACACAAATGCAATCCTCATAATAACTCTATGAAAGTAATGCAAAGGAATCTGATTCTGCAAACTGTGCTCTTAACCACTCTGCCAACTCATGAATGGAGTAAGGAAGGCTACACCTAAAAGGTCTCCTATTGGCTCAATACCTGGCACATAAAGGACAGGGTCCAGGGAAAGACAAAAATCAACTGACCCAGTCCCCTTGATTAATTTCCTTTGTTCCACTGGAGCTAAGCTGCTCCAGTAGCCTTGGCTACCTAGGATGGCAACCATTCATTTTACTTCACCAGGTAACTATTGAAAACAAAGCTCTATGCCAGGCCCTGGTAATTCAGTGTGAACAAAATAGACTTAGCCCTCATCCTCACAGAGTTTACAGCCTGCAGGGTAAAGTAGATAATAAGCTAGTAACAAGAGTGCAAGCAGTGAGGCAGCTAGCCTTTTTTATAGACTCTCCACTGAAAAAGAATGAAGAAGTCATGTGTCCGGCCCAACCAATGCAGAAATCTCTACAATCTCTCCTACAGATGGCCATGAAGCTTCTACTAGAATCCTCAAATCCAGAAAGCTCCCTCTTCCAACAGCAGTGTAGTCCAGTTTGCTCTACAAAGCTTTTCCATATATTGAGTCTACATCTTCTGCCTTGTAATATCTCCCATCGTTTCAAATATGTCTTCTGCATCTCACAGAACAATGTCTATCCCTCTTCATCATAGCAGTCCTTCAACATGTTTGAGGACAGCCAACAAGTGGCCCTCAAATTTTTTTCTTTTTAAGACTAAACTCCCCTCAAACATTTCTTTAGGCCATGGCTTCCCAAACTCTTCCCTACAAGGTAGCATTCTGGGTTCTATCAAGTCTGCCAAAAACTAAAGTAAAGGCCTAGAAAAAAATACTTTAAATGTAGTCTGACCAATAGGCTAAAGTAGAACTATGACCTACCTTGACTAAGATTCTGTGCTCCAATTAATTACTGCATTTATTGGTTTAGTTTTAATACTGACCACACAGAAATTGTTCATGTTGCACTCAGATAATCGTTCATGTTTTCAAAGAGAAAGTTATCAAAAGCAGGTGCTCCTCTAACCTCTATTCGGACAACTGATTTTTTTTTTTTAATGTATATGAGGGCTTTACATTTCCCTCTGTTAAACTTAATCTTGGTGAAACTCAGATGACAGTGTCATCTTTGTACTTACTTACTGAATAACCAACTCTGTCTTAGCTTCACAAAAATGATTTTCGTAAGAAATCTTCAGGGGGCGCCTGGGTGGGTCAATAGGTTAAGCGGTTGCCTTCGGTTCAGGTCATGATCCTGGGGTCCTGGAATAGAGCCCTGCATCGGGCTCCCTGCTCAATAGGGAGTCTGCTTGTCCCTCTCCCTCTGCTGCTCCCCCTGCTTGTGCTCTCTCTCTGTCAAATAAATAAATAAAATCTTTTAAAAAACAAAAAGAAATCTGTTCAGACTAAGCACTTGATAAGCTGAATAGCCTTTTCTGAAGACTTCAGAGTTGTAGAGAAAGATCCCATTGTATGGCATTTCACATGAAAAATCTTTTCTCCAAAACTCTTTACTCTCCTCACCACCAGCTCTAGGGCCTGTGTCTCAGCTTCCCTCTCACAGATCACAGCCTTTCTAACTCGTGTCCACCTACCCCTTCTCCACCATCTCAACTCTAATCAAATTCTTCTCTCTTCTATTATGAAAACAATCCAGTTCATCCCCGGCTCCAACCAAAATGTTATCTCAACATACACAGAAAATAAAGTTAAATTTAAAATTTCCCTCTATGTAATAAGCCTACCCTCCTTGGAAGTAAATGCATGTAGATAGATGGTAATCAGTATTCAGAAAATGTTTATTGAGCACATACTATGGGCCAGGCACAGAGCTCCTTGAAAGATGCAATATCAGACACAATCCTGGACTTCATGGCACTTACCACCTAGTAGGAGAAGACAGATGGCAATCAGCTAAATACACAGTCCATGTAAATTATAGGCATACCAAGCTCTGTGAAGAAAAGACAACTCCAGATAATTGAAGGATCTGGTATAGTCAGAGTGTCAGGAAGGGATTCTCTTAGGAAGTGGTGAATGAGTTGAGACTGAGGAGCAGGGATTAACAAGACTCTTCATTGTCACTTATTTACTATGCTGAAAAACTAGAAGCAAAATAAATGTCTATATAAAGGAATCATTGTGACATTAATTTGTGGCATATCCACGTGATAGACTATTAGAAATCCATTAAGAATTAAATTTTTGACAACTAAAATATTACAAATAGAAAACATGCAAACCAACCTAACTTTAAAAATATTAATGTAAAGTCCTAAATAGAAAGTTAACAATGAGAGTAACAGCAGTACATTATGCATATTGATTCATTCCAGGAATTTAAAAATATTTTTTAATCTTAGAAAATCCATTAATGAAATTCATCATATAAATAAGTCAAAGGAGAAAACTATGATTACCAAGAAAACTGTCAAAAGCATTTGTTAAAATTTAAATCCATCTCCAAGTTAAAAAAAAAAAACACCCTACGTTTTGAAAAAAGACATGCATATCCCCCCAAATTAAGAATCATATTAAAAAAAAAAAAGAACCATACTAACTAGTGAACACTAGAAGCATCCCCATTAAAGCCAGCAATATGACAGGGGGTACATTCTTTTTTTTTTAAGTATAGTTAACACACAATTTTATATTAGTTTCAGGTATACAACATGGTGATTTGACAAGTCTATATGTTATGCTTATGCTTACCACAAGTGTAGCTACCATCTGTCTCCATACAACAGTATTACAATACCATTCATGATACTCCCTACGCTGCACCTTTTATCCCTGTGACCTATTCACTGCATAATGACACCTGTATCTCCAACTCCACTTCACCCATTTTGCCCATCCCCCCACTCCTGGGGACATTCTTTTATATTTGTTATTTAATATTGTTCTAAAAGTGCCAGCCAGTGCATTTAAAATCAACAAAATAAGAGATACAATTATTGGAAGAATGAACGTACAATTTGTCATTATGTGCATATGTGATATCACACTTAGAAAACGCAAAAGAATAAACAAAAAACAGAAACAAGAAAAACATTAATAAAGTGGTCATTTATAAAAGAAATACACAAAATCAATACTGTTCTTACAAACTAACTAAAACTGTAGTAACTTAAAATTTTTGATCCTAAGAAAATAAAAGATGGACAAATGATACAGACAGGACAGAAAAGAAAGAGGCTCAAATATGCATGAAAATTTTATATGTGATAAAGAAAACATTATAGTGATCATTTTAGAAACTATTTATGTCAGAATCTATAAAATACAACTAAAGCATCTGTAGTAAAGATGAAAGAATAAAAATACATTAAACAACCAAATCAGACGTTTGAAAAAGAACAAAATAAACCAAAACAAAGCAGAAGGAAGAAAACAAATAACAAAACACAATGTTTAGAAAAGACAAAAAGGTAAAACTAATAAATTAAAAAGCTGGTATTTCAAGAAATCAATAAAATAAACAAACCACTAGCTCAATTAGTCAAGAAAAAGAAATGGGAGAAAACACAAGTATACAAAGTAAGAAACAGTGAAAAGCAAACAAAACTGAAAACATCATTAGAAAATACTTTGTATAATTCTGTGCAATAAATCTGAAAACCTAAATAAATGTATAATTTTAAGAAAATACAACTCACCAAAGTGATCCCAGTAGACAAAAGTTGGACAATTTCCTAGAAGAAAAAAAAAATTATCAAGGCTTACCACAAAGTAAAACAAGAGGATGCCTGGGTGGCTCAGTCAGTTAAGTGGCTGCCTTCGGCTCAGGTCATGATCCCAGAGTCCTGGGATCGAGTCCCGGGTCGGGCTCCCTGCTCAGCATGGAGTCTGCTTCTCCCTCTGCCCCTCACCCCGCTCGTGCTCACTCGCTCTCACTTTCTCTCTCTCTCAAATAAAAAAATAAAATCTGAAAAAAAAAGAAAGAAAAGAAAACAAAGCAGCAAACAAAGCAGCTGGCCTAAATAATTTCATATAGAAACTGGACCTTCAAAGAAAACATAATCCCAATGTTATTTAACTTGTTCCAGAGAATAGAAAAAGAAGAAAAACTTCCCAATTCTCTTTATAAGGCAAGTATAACACTGATACTTGAACCTGGTAAAAATTGCACCAAGAAACTACAGACCAACTTCACTTATTAACATGGACATCAAAATAAATTGATTAGCAAAGACAACCAAACAGCCAATGAAAGTAACGCTCTGGCCATGCAAAAAGAGTTCAACATGAGGAGATTTATTTATATAATCCACCATGTTAATAAATCAAAGGGGGAAATCATATGAAGTATATACACTGAGAAGGCATTTGACAAAATTCAAATTTTTATGAAATTTGCAAAATTATGAATTAAAAAAAACTTAAAATATGAGAATCAATGGAAATATTGGCATTCGGGCCTGCTCCTCCCGAGGCAAAGCACACTCCCTCGGGCAAAGAAGACAAAAGTAGCTATGGCAGAATACACTGTATGCAGGTGACGACCCAGGTGGACTTAAGAGATCTGGACAGGATATGGGCATCTGCTGCATTAGGGAACACATTCTAGGTGCAAAATATCACCCCACAGACTACTTGTACAATGCAAAGGAAAAGGAAAAACATACCATTACAATGGATAAATCTGGTTAGTTAGTTTCCCATGCAGCATCTAAATTAACCCTCCACACCACCACCCAAGAGATAGGTAGACTCATCTCCATTTCAGAGATAAAAATTTGAGGAGCAGAGATGCTTACTAGCTTACTCAGAGTAAAGAGGTTGGGTTTATATCCAAACTACTCTAGTTCTAGGTCACTCTCTTCCTTCTATCCTTCTTTCTAAGGAAAGCTAAGAAGCTTTCCTTATCAGGGATCTTCACTGGCCAAACCCAAAAGTAAGCCAGAGGGCAGGGGAGTGGGGGATGTGATCCTTATCTGTCAGCCTTCTAGGTCCCAAACAGGGTGGAGAAGTGTAAGGTACACACCTAGAACAGCTAATGCAAGATAACAGGCATATCCCACATCTTAACTATAAGATGAGAATAATGAAGAGCTCCTGACACATGAGTTGTTCAAGGATTGAATAAGATATTGCATGTAAACATCTCAGCACCTTCTTGGCACTGATTAAACTCTCAACAAATGTTAGCCATGTGAAAGACTGTCATTAGCTTGCATTGGTTAAATGCCCTGAATCAAATAGACTTCATTTTTTAGTCAAAAGTTTGGCTTTGATACTTAAACTTTAAGAACAAAAAACCACAGAAAAATGACACAGCTGACTCCATCCATCAATATCCAGTGAAAAAACGGTTAAATATCACAAACTAACATCTGGGCAGAGAAGGATGCCGATAAAATGAGCACCACTGATTTCCCCTCAAAACACTTTAAATCCATTTTTAAAAGTGATGCCAATGACTAAGGAAATATCTTTTTGAGCTGTGGCTCACTCTAAGAATATTCTCTTTGCCCCATCTTGTAAATGGTAAAGTTCATACTTAATAATTTTGGTCATGAATGACCACCTAAATATGTCAGGAATAATTTCACATCTGTGACCCTCAGAGCCGAAAATATAGATGAATGTAATTAACCTACTTCCAAAATTATAAAAAAAAAAAAAATCTGTTCTATTCTCTCCTGACTTGGGAACATATGGTGTCAGATTACATGGTTGGCACCTGGCTGACTGCTGCGTCCATGTGTCGCATTCTAACACAAACAGGCAGAGGCGCAAAGCCTGCCCAAAAGAGTCATCAGCCAAATCCAAAATGGGCAGCTCAAGCCACAAGCTCAGCCAGAAACTGCTATTAACATCCTGGTGGAGGAAATAGAGCTCTCAGCACCACCCTCTGAGCCCAGTTTCCCCTCTTGCCCCATGACCTCCTTCCATAAACATCTTGAGAAGGATCCATGAGGTTGGTTTCTCCGTTGACGCACATAGTCAACTCTCCTGGCTCTATTTATCAGGGAGAAATTGAATTGGCCTCAACTCGTTTTGGGGGTTGGCTCTCTTAAGTTAAGGCATTTTGAAGCAAGTAAATCCAACCAAATGCTTTCCATACCAATTAAAGGTGTGCTTGTCATTCTCCCCACCCAAGCTCCCAACTCCTGGCTTGTTTATACTGAGTGAAGGACATTCACCTCCAGCCTAATGCAAAGAAAGCAAAGGGACTGTCGGTAGCTTCCTGGCTTCACTTTCTGTTCTCTCCCCATCTTATTGTAGTCCCCATCTCTGTCTCTGTAAGTCAGTTCAAACTGCTGATGCACCATGAGACTAAATATGCTCCTTCACACTCCAGTCCCCCAAATTGCCCATTACAATATTGAAACGTCCTTGAATTATATTATTCCTTCCTGAATTGTGATTATTTTATTCCTGTTTTTTGCTTATTTTTTTGGAATGTGCCCACCTGTTTCAGGCTGAATCATGGATAAAGAGGGTTTAGCTCATGTCTGCTGTGGGAATTAAGAAACCCCAAGGAACTGGGTGGAGTTAGTACAATTAGAATGAGAAACAGCCTAGGGCAAGAGACCAAGGGTAGCAGATGTGTGACTTTTTTGACTCACCTGAGGCATTCCCTTAAAACGGACTGGGAGGTAGAAGACGTAAGTGACAATGAGGAAAGGTCACTGACAGGATTAAAAACTGGGTCTTTTCTACCAGCTGGAAGGATCTCTAAGACCAAAAAGAAAGGATAATCCACATGCACTAGCAAGAAATATAACTCTCTTACCCCCTTACCAGAATACATTTTCTGGCCAGAACAAGATAGTGGTATGGAGAACTGTTCTCTTCTCTCCATAACCCTGTCTTGTTGGTTGTGGTAGATATCTGCTGTTCTTGTCTGCCCAGAGTCTGTCTCCTATTTCTTCTGTTAATAACACTTCCATTTCCTCAATAGAAGGCCCCTTTCCTACTCTAAGTGATTGTTATAGGGCTGCCAATCCTAACACCTTGCCCCTACCCTCATCACCACTGGCCACAGAGATAGGCATTTGACCTACATGAGGCATCTTCTTATTTTTCTGATGTAAGTGAATTAATTCCAAGAAGTAGGCATGTAACCCAAGCCAAGTTAATGAAAAACTTCTCTGAAATTTACATAAACTGGAGTCTAGGGGAGAAGCGTTGTTTTTGCTATGAAGTCATCAAGCTGGTAACATGTGAAACTGGCGCCACATGTGCCATGTCCCCCACTATGTGGAGGAAACAGCTACATAGTCTGTATGAAAAGGTTGAGAGATGGGAAACGTGTAGAGGAGAGAGAATCAGATGGGGTAGAGAGAAAATGAGTTGGAGGAGAGATGAGAGAAAGACAAATGAAAGAGAGGTTGGGGAGAAGAAATGAGGGGAGAGAGGTCGAGGAGAGAGAGAGGAAAGACAAAATGGGAGACGGAAAGATGGGGGAGATGTGGGTAGAAATGGGTGAGAGAAAGATGGAGGGGAGAAAATGGAGAGAGTGATGTGGGGAGAGAGAGAAAGATGGAGAGGGAGGGGTGAAGGGAAAGAGATAAATCAGAGAGAGAGAAAAGTAAAAATGGGCAGTGAGAAAAAAAAAATACAGGGAGAGGAAGATGTGAAAAGAGAGATGGGAAAGGGGGAGGGAGAAAAGACAGAAACCTAATGGCATCTCTTGAGGTCCTACTTCCAGGCCACCGTTGAGGCCACCTGCAACCTCATGTATTCTAGTTTATAACCAGGTTTGAGTTAGAGCCTATCTTACTTGCAACCAAGATTGATAACCATTCTCATACCCTTGATCAAATCCAATCCTGTTTCAAACTTAGCTCTTAGTGGCTGTGTTCTAGAACCCAAAGATGAAGCAGAGGTTTCACGGATCACCTCAAAACATAATCACTCTTAGAATCTACCCAGGTGATTTACATACTTCAAATAAGTGGAGAAAATATAAGTTGCTTTTCCCTGCTTGCAGAGAGCATGTAAAGATCTTCATTTTTTTCCTTCCTACTTCCCAATTGGGCTCTGGCTATCAGAAACCAATCTTCCACCAAAAATACAAAAGAAACTGCTTGGAGGTTAAAAGCAGCATTTAGGAGAAAATCATGTTGTACATCATACCAAAATTTAATATGACTTTATGCAAAATAGTAATGTGTCTGGTAATACAAAGATCCTTCTAAAGTAGGTTAATAACAATCCAATATTATTCTCCTTAAAAAAAAAAAAATGAAAATGTATGTCAGAAAAAAAAGGCTAAAGTAGCTGAATCTTGTACCCATTGATGGAGCTGATTTACATAGATAGCATTTAACATTCCATCATCATTATCCTATCAGTCTCCTGTCTAACATGCAAGCCTAAAGACATTCAATGTGCTTAGAGTTTAAAAAAAAAAAAAAACCTATATCCACCAGCCAAAATGGTGGTAAATGACAAAAAAAAAAAAGGAAGAAAAAAAATTTTAGGCAGACAGATGAATATCAACTGGGATGAAAAAAAGACTGTCTCCCCGCTCCCTTCTGTTCCAATATAGTAACCTAAAAGATTGAATAAAAGAAAACTAAATATTTAAGAGTAAAATGTGGTTATCAAATGGGGAGAAGGGAAAAAAAGGAAGCATTATGATAATAGTTGAGTCTGCCTCTGCTAGAGGAAGCAGCTTTGAGTATGCGCACCTTGACTTAAATGGAAAGCAAATGTAAATGAAACACAGTTCCTCCTTTAG